GGGCGACGGCTTCTGAGGAACCCGTCGCCCGCGCCTCGCCTGTCGCGTGAATCGTAATAAATAAATAAATCAAACGGGCACGCCAAACGAGGGGTGTGAGTGAGTGAGTGAGTATTCTTGATACGAAACCACGACGACACACACCAGTCGACTCGCATCGGTTGCCTCCATGAACGGCGGAGCTATTCTCGCGCCCACACCACACCTGGCTCCAACGTGGACACGCCCATAGCTGGGGACACTACTAGGTCACGCATGGCATCACAGAAGTTTTATCTCTGGGCCCCGAAAGGCATCTCTAGCAGTGTCGTTACACATGCCCCCTCCCCTCCTGGGCGCATGCGCCTCACGTCTCGCCAGAGCATAAGCCCTTGGCGTGTGGCGAGACGAGTTTTTCGCCATCGCCGCGAGCAGCAAGCCGCCCGCCGCAAACAGCCGGAGGCCTCGCCGCGGCACTGGCTGCGCCGCGGTCCCGCACCCGTCGACGCAGCTCCCCCCGCGGAAGACCGCGCGTAGCGACGTCTTGACGATCGAGATGAGCGTGCCTGAAGCTCGCCCACCTACTGCCCCTGAGAGTTGGTTATTGAGTGGGATCAGCTCCCCCCCTTGGGATCGAAGCCGCCACAACCTCACACCCAACATCCCAGGCGGGATCAGAAGGGGACTCCACACCGGACACCGCCCGGGCACAGCCCCCCTACCCGTCGGATCGCACAGAGGGCCCCCTCGGAGCAGCCCACACACAATCACGCATCGGCAGATTGAGTGCCTGAGTCAGGCAGACAGCACAGACAAGAGGAGAGAGAGGAGAGAGAGAGAGAGAGAGAGGAGAGAGGAGAGGGTGAGGGTGTGAACACACGTGAGGAGTGGGGAGGGTGTCTGTGGTGGGCTGTAGTCCTACTACGTGGTTACAACCACGCGCCCCTCAGGAGCTTAAGGTAGAGCTGAGCGTCCCAGACGCCTCGGTGCCACCCACCGGGTGAGACCATCCGGATCTACCGGGTTCGCCCTCCGGACGCACCCGTCCCCGCGATGGCCCACGGTCCTCCGTCGCCTGGTTGACCCCCTGCCTCCCGGTTGAACGAGGTCAGCATCGTCGGCGAGGTCACCAACGGCATCATCATCGCCGCGAAAGCTGCCGTAAACACGCTCTTTTCGTCGCAGCGGCGCGGCGCGCTGATGGCTCTCCAGATAAAGAACCTGAAGAAGGCTGCGCTGGCGTACCTTGTGTGGGACCTACGCGGCGAGCTGGCGGGCGCGCGACTCGAGCAGGCGGTCGTGTACGGCAAGCGGCTCGAGACGCACGCGAGCGGCGTGGACAAGGAGTTGGGCAAGTGCAAGCGGCGGCAGGCGGGCGCGGAGGCGCTTCTCGCTGTCGTTCCAGAAACGTTGCAGGACGTGCCCACGCCAGAGGAGCCCGCGGTCGAGGAGGAGCCGGCGGTCGAGGACCTGCCGGCCAGCGACTCCCGTCCCGACGACGCGTCTTCGGACAGCGATCGGGAAAGCGTCTTCGAACGTCGGGTGACCCGTAGGATGATCGACGCCGGCCTGAACGAGGCGCAATTCGATGATATGCGGAACGTTTACGGGATTCAGCTCGCCCACGAGGACAAGTGCCACGAGTGTGCCAAGCTGCAGGCTCGGGCAGTGAAACTGTATGATATGCTCCTCCCGTACCTCGAGCGCGACTGGGTGCCACTGGAGGAGGCATTCCAGCGGCTCGACCTTATAGCTGCTCGGGAGCGCTCGGGTACCCTGGGTCGTGGGTATGATAGTGACACAACATATGTGTGATACACTACCAAAACAGGGCCGCGGGGGGGCGTTGGGGGCCGCTGGAGGGCCGCTAGACCCTTCCCGGGCCCCTCCGGGTGGGTCCGGGTGCACCCGGAACCTGGCTGACGCCGCCACCGCGGTCGTCACCCGCAACCTGACCGCCACGCCGCTGCTTGCCTCGCTCTCCGAGTACGCCTCCTCCAACGCCGAGCTCGCGGCCGCCATCGAGGCTGGCGTGCTCGACGCCGCCACCGTCATCACCGTGCACGAGCAGCTGTTCGGAGCAAACAGGACGGCCCCTGTCGTCCTCCTCACCTTCTCCAACCCGCAGCCCGCCGCGAGGCCGGCGAGGAAGAGGTCGCACGGTGCCCTCGCGAGGACCTCTTCCTCGCAGCGCCACTCCGACCGCCGCCAGATTGCGTCAGCCGACCTTCGCCAGGAGGTCGCGGACCTGCGCCAGAACATCACGGTGTTGCGGCGGCGCACGGTCTCGTTCGCCCCGAACCAGTCGCCTCTCGGCGCGCGTGCACAACCCTCGCACGCCGTCGCGCCTCCGCCCGCCGCCGCCGCCGCGCCACTGCCGCCCGCCCCGAGCGCCCCTGCGCCCGCACCGCCGCCCCCCGCCATTGCGGAAGGGCCTGCCCCATCGATCTCCGGGGCCCCCGCCACCACCGCCGACGCCATCGCCACCGCGGCCGAGGACACCTCCTCCAACGCCGCCGCTGATGCCGCCCACTCGGAGGCCGCCGCTGACGCCGAGGCCGCCCTCACCGACGCCGCTGCCGCTGAGACTGCCCGCGCCGAGGCCGCCGCCGCCGAGGCTGCCCGCGCCGAGGCCGCCGCCGCCGAGGCTGCCCGCGCCGAGGCCGCCGCCGCCGAGGCTGCCCGCGCCGAGGCCGCCGCCGCCGAGGCTGCCCTCGCCGACGCCGCCGCCGCCGCCGAGGCTGCCACCACCACCGCTGCCGCTGAGGCCGCCGCCTCCGCTGCGGCCGCCGCCGCCGCTAATGCAGCCGCCGTCGTGATCGCAGAGACGTCCGCCGCCGGGGCCGCCGCCGCTGCGAGCCATCGCTCGCCACTTGCATCGCCCCGCGTCAGCGGCACGCCGCCGCACCACGACCCCAAACAGGTCAAGCGGCAGGCTCGAGCCGGCAGGCAGGCTCGAGCTGGCGGCGGCGGCAGAGGCAAGGAGGAACGATGGGCGGGCCAAGGCTTCCTGGACTCGGACAGCGAGAGTATCAGCGACGGCGGCGACGGCGCGGAGGGCCACTCCTCGGCCAAGCGCAAAGAACCGGCCAAGCGCGCGCCGGGCCCTGCCGCCGCCCCCCTTCGCGGCGCCATCTCCGCAGCGCCAGTGGCGATGGCCGGCGCCACCGCTGCCAACCTCCCTCTCGGAGGAGCCGTCACCCTCGCCCCTGCCCCCCACGCCTTCGCCGCCGCCTCCGCCTCGAGCTTCCTCTCCTCACCGGCCGCCGCCCTCGCCCTCGCCTGCATCTCCCTCCTCGTGTTTGCCACCCTCCTCGCCCGCTCCGTTGCCGCCCTCCCGCCCTCTGCCGACCGCGATGCTGTTGCCCGCCGCCCCCCCCGCCCCGCCGCCTCGACCCCGCGACGCCTCTCGCCGCTCACCCTGCTCCTCCTTCTCTGCTCCGCCGCGCCCGCCACTGCGGGCAAGAGGGGCAGGAAGGAGGTCTATGCCGTGTTCCTCCCCGATGTCGACGGCTCGGGCGCGCGCGTCGCTCTGAGCAGCTCCTACAGCATTGCGTGCAGCTTCGGCCTCCCGGGCTGGAGCGGCGGCTACTGCGAGGGCTTTACGACCCAGGCCGAGGCCGCAGCCTCCCTCGGCATCCTCTGCCGCCAAGCCCTGCCGCCCCTTGTCATCAACGTGTGCTATACTCTCCCCCCCCGCCACGCCCCGTCCGGCGGTGCCTCATCCTCCACCACCCTCCCACCAGCCTTACACGCGGGCGCCATCGCGCCCGCCGCCATCGCCACCACACCCGCCGCCATCGCTGCCGCGCCCGCCACCGCGACGCCCTCTCCTCTCGTCACCGCCGCCGCCCCGCCCGCCTGCCCTGCACCGGGATACACAGTCGTGCACGCCGGGGCCGCGGCACACGGCTCCCCGGTCGCCGTCGTCCACTCCGCTGCCGCCGCCACCGAAGGGGGGCGTCACCTCCGTCACCTCCGCCATCGCCTCTAGCACTGGCCAGGCGGTCACGACGTCTGCGGACGGCGACCGGGACGACGCCGTGCGCGCCGCCACCGACGATGCACTCGCGACTGCCGCAGCCGTATCCGCCGCCCTCTCCTCGCAAGCCGCCACTCCCGCCACCACAACCCCCGCTGCGCATGCCACCGGGGTTGCCGCCGCCAACCCAGGGGAACCCTCTACCGCGCCCGCGTCCGAACCAGACGGGCTCCTCTGGCGCCTCATACGCTTTGTTTGCGACGATCCCCACACAAAGCGCCAGCGCACCTATGCCGCAGCCTCCACTTCCCACACCGCCGTCCCTCCCTCCGCCCCAGCGCTGGCATCGTGGGACCTCGCGCCCTAGGCCCCCTCATCCGCCGCCCTCGCCTCCGCCGCCGTCGCCTGCCGCCGCCCTCGCCTCCGCCGCCACCGCCTCCGCCGCCTCATCCTCCGCCGCCCCCTCCACCGCCTTCCGCACCTCCGCCGCCCTCACCATCGCCCCCCCCGCCGCCGCCCCCACCGCCTCTAGCGGTCGCACTAGTCGGATATCGTTGTTCAACCTGTTTGTTCAACGGTTGTTCAACCATACTTTGAGCCATAATTATTAATTCGGGTTTGGGTCTCTGAGGTCGATACTAGCGTCTATAACTTGCCACAAGCATGCTTTACAAAAGTCCAGCGGAGCTGGACTCGCAGAACGGCCGTTCGCGCGCGCTGTGAACAGCGCCGTGGTTGAACACTGTTCAACGTCGTTGAACACGTGACGGTCCAGTAACCGCCCGCCCTAAACGCCCCCGACAGCGAAGCCCGCGCCGCGCGCGGCACCCCCACCGACTCTGCCTCCGACCCCAGGGCCTAGGCGGCCCGCCATGAAATCTAGCCGTGTGTGCTGGCGTCCGGGTCCCAGCGGGTTTTCACGTAACAAGTACACACAAACGAGGGGTGGGAGAAGGACAGGGTGTGTGTCTCTGCACGAGAGCGACCCACCTGCACGAGCAGGATCTTGGAAGGGCGTGTGTCTCTCAAGCTTGGTGTCATGTGCCCATCCCCCGCGGCTGCTTCGCTGCGCCGCGTCCCGCACGTACGCCAGAGCTTCTCCTGGGACTGCGGCTTCGCCTGCACCGAGATGGCGCTGCGCGCGCTCGGCGTGCCCGCGCGCGAGTGCCACGTGTCGCAGCTGCGGAAGCGGGTGCCGTCCTCGTCCATCTGGACGGTTGACCTAGCCTTCATCCTGCGCGAGTTCGGGCTGCGCTTCCGATTCCTCACCGCCACGCTCGGTGTCGACCCCTCCTACTCCGCCGAGGCGTTCTACCGGCCCACGCTCGAGCGCGACGCCGAACGCGTCAACACGCTCTTTGGCCGCGCGGGCGCTGCCGACATCGCGATCGAGCAGCGGTCGATCTCGCCGTCCGAGCTGCGCGTGCTCTGCGGCGGCGCGCACACGTGCGGCGGCAACCTCATCATCGGCCTCGTTGACCGGAGAAGGCGCGCGGGACGGCTGGGAGACGCTTCCGAGGCACTTCCGAGACACTTCCGAGACACTTCCGCTCTCCTCCACAGCCAAGCTCGTATGGCGCGTGGCATGGCAGCCCCCCCTCCTGCCCCACAGCCCCCCGCGCCCTCTCGCCACCGCGCCCACGGCGGCCGCA